CCAGCAAGAATTTATTGACCACAGCAAAAATACACATAGGACAGTGAAACAAGGGAGGGCTTAGAAGCAGTAGCAGGAAAGCCTAGGCTGGGGCTGCATTGACTCACTGGGAAGTCAGAGAAAAGGGGGCCTGGGAGACAGGTTTAGGAGATTAGCACAGGACTATTTGCCATTGCCCGTTGCTCTCTGGTTACAAGTCTCAGGGTGTTCCTTAGAGCAGCCGTCACCAACCTTTCGGACCTTGGGATACATAGGGGGAAGTAAGAGGGGGCAGGGGGGAAGTGCAGAGGGGGAAGGGAGTGATACTGGCATGTCCCTGGAGAGAGAGGGCACTGGGACCTTCATTTTCAGGGGTTTTTAGGGCTGGACATTTAAAAAAAAAAAAGGGGGGGGGTGTTGAGAGGATCAATAGACTATTCATCACCCTTATGCTGATGTACCAAAATGAAATATATTTTCTTTGTCCTTGGGTGTGGCTGGCAAACTGCACTAATTGGATTTCTGTTATCTGTCTCCCAGAGTAGGGTGATTTAAGCGATTTACCCTCTGGCTGGGAAAAGTGCAAACCATACTCTTTAGGTGTCCTTGGTTTAGGGAAGATAGGATTTAATTAGGTGGCCACAAACTGCTGTTTAACTCTGTCTCAGTTTCTCTATTCTGGTTGTCCTGGAATTTTCCTAGCTTCTTACTCTTCTGTAACATATGTACCACTGGGGCTCACGGTGGCCTATGCATGGTATCTGGAGGCCAGACAACTCAAAGGATATCCTTCCATAGTCAATAGTTATTGGCTTTCTAACAATAGTCCAAGCCCTCCATGTCAGATAGTACCTACAACTTCTATGTGGCCAGATGGACATCTTTCTTTCTAGGTTTTTCTTTTTGCATAAATTTTTCTTTTTATTTAAAAAATATGTTTTATTGATATTTTATAGAGAGGAAAGGTGAGGGATAGAGTTAGAAACATCAATGAGAGAGAATCATCCATCAGCTGCCTCCTCACCCCCCCCACTGGGGATGTGCCCCACAACCAAGGTACATGTCCTTGACCGGAATCCAACCTGAGACCCTTGAGTCCGCAGGCTGACGTTCTTTCCACTGAGCCAAACCGGTTAGGGCAAGGTTTTCCTTTTTAAAAGGTTTTGGAATGTATATTGTGGATGTTTCCTGGAAGGAAGTACTGTGAAGAATTGATGCCCTTGCTTTAGGGATGCAGTGGTCTCATCTTTAAGATGGAAGATGGAGTAGGGTGCAGTGTAGTAGCCATTGTTTTCTCTTTATTAGGAGCTGCCTCTGATCAAGTCAGTTGTTCCTCAGGTAAGTCCTGATGTTAATTTTTTGCAAGGTTAAAGATGCCTTTTTTTTTTTTTTTGAATCCTCACCTGAGAATATTTTTCCATTGATTTTTAGAGAGAGTAGAAAGGAGGGGGAGAGACAGAGAGAAACATGGATGTGAGAAAGACACATTGATTGGTTTCCTCCTGCATGCGCCACTGATGCTGATGGTAGCATGCATCCAAGGGGAAAGGTAATGCCTGGTTGGAAAACCATCACATGCTAGGTGTCTTCATTTTCTTTTGGCACTTACATGCAGTTCTGCCTTGATTCAGACACCAAACAGCTACAGGGGATTGCCTAGGTTCAACTATAAGTTCAAGTCAGACAGTTTCTTTGTTCACTTCGGGGTACTGTGAACTGACAAATCCATCAATGTGTGTCTTTTTCTTAATTAACTTTCTTCACATATATTCTACATCCTAAATCCCTTTATTTGAGTCAAGCATTTCTTAGGGCTCTGCCATAGGAGCAATAAGAACTGTGGCTCTGTTTTGTTTACTATTTTATCTAAACATTTCACTTGTTCAAAAAGTTTTTGTTTCCTCCTGTCAATTGCTATTCAAAAGAAATACTTCAAGCATCTATAAAAGATGCTATCATTTATTTAGAGATGCTACCTCTACTTTTTGCATTTGCCTATTTTTTTAGGTCATGGTATTATAATCTTTGGTATGTTTGATTAAGAGGCAGCCTGACCACCAAACTGTGTTCTGAGTGAGAAGCAGTCCCTCAGGTCTTTTTAAAAAAAATTAAAAAAATAATATATATATATATATATATATATATATATATATATATATATTATTGATTTTACACAGAGAGGAAGTGAGAGGGATAGAGAGTTAGAAATGTTGATGAGAGAGATACATCGACCAGCTGCCTCTTGCACAACCCCCACTGGGGATGTGCCTGCAACCAAGGTACATGCCCTTGACCAGAATCGAACCCAGGTCCTTTCAGTCCACAGGCCGACGCTCTATCCACTGAGCCAAACCGGTTTCAGCTGGTCTTGAACTGAATAAATGATAACAAATATGAGCCTTATGCTCCCTGAACGATGTTCCTTGTTAGCTACATTTTCAAGAGATTTTTTTTAAAAATTAATGCTCACTTAAAGATATTTTTTCTATTGATTTTTAGAGAGAGTGGGAGGGTGGGAGGAGAAAGAGAGAGAGAAAAAAACATCGATGTGTCTCTTTGATTGGTTGCTTCCCATACACATCCTGACCCAGGTTGGAGAACACACCTGCAACCAAGATACTTGCTCTTGACTGGGAAATTAAGCCAAGACCCTCTGGTGTGCAGGACAATGATGTACCACTGAGCACACTGGCCAGGGCTCAAGACATTATTTTGTTAAAATGTATCACTGTGATCTGCGGCAAGGAAGCCTTACAGCTGTGGCCTGTAATCTTCAGCTCCTTTCAGTCAGCTTTGGAAGTGTAGTTGCCTCGTAGGGGGTATGTTGTCAAGGCGTCACCTAAGGCAGAACTGCACATGATCACAAGCTGTTAAATGGCCCATAGGAGCCATTATGTGGACACACTGCCCCTCAATGCAGTCAATTTTCTGTCAGTGTTGGAATCTTTTGATGTTTTTTTGGTAAGAACCAGGTGATTTCAGGTTAAGTCAGATGACATTGCTTTGTTTTATAAAAAATGTCTTTTATATCTGGGATCACACTTTTTACCAAATGTATGGATAGTCACATTTATAGCATATCCTAATATATAAAAGGCCAGGGGCCTTTATGACCGAAACAACCAGATGGACAACTGAACACAGGCTGCATGGGGAGACCAGGCCGGCAGGAGCATTAGTAAGGGATGACCAAACAACTGAACAGCAGGCTGCGTGGGGCAACCAGGCCGGCAGTGGGGGTAGTTGGGGGTGAGCAGCTTGGCAGGGGGAGCAGTTAGGGGTGACCAGGCTGGAAGGGGGACAGTTAGAGGGTGACAGGGCCAGCAGGGGGATAGCTAGGAGCGACCAGGTCAGCAGCTGGAACAGTTAGGGTGATCAGGCTGGCATGGAGGGGTGCAGTCAGGGGGGATCAGGCAGGCAGTCAGCTGAGCACTTAGGAGCCAGTGGTCCTGGGTTATGAGAGGGATGTCCGATTGACCTGAGGGGTCCCGGATTGAAGAGGGTGCAGACTGGGCTGAGGAGACCTCCCCTTTCCCCCGCTTGTGCACAAATTTTGTGTCCTGGGCCTCTAGTGTATGATATAAAAATCCACTGACTAAATGAGCATTTGGTTAACTAAGGGAAAAATGCTATGCTATTTCAACCAGTTAGCCTGTGTGAAGCCTTGATTTCCAGCACAAAATTAAATAAGAGTGTGGGTCAGAGATATTGGGGCTCAATGTCCAAGGTGTGGTGTTTAGGATCCTCTTAGGAGAGGTCATATTCATGGCTTGGAAACATTTTGGCTGGCATGGAGAAATCTTTGGAATTGGCAACAAAACCAAAATTGTTGTAATTTTGATACATGAAATTCTTTTGCTTTACTCTTCTAATCACTCAGTGAGATGAACCTGTTTGATATTATCTCATTCATAAATGAAGAGCCTGGCAGGAATGGGTTAAGCCAAATAGGCTGGCGCCTGGAATGGAACAGAGAGGCCCTCCTCCTGTGGGAAGGGGGTAGGGGAGCTGCCTACCTCTCCCTTCACTGCTTTGGTCCTGCTGAGTCACAGCCCGTAAACCTTTGTCCACTCCTACTCTAATTTCAGAAATGTGTATAGATAAGCGAGGAAGTCCTAGGATATTTATGAGGAATTCTAAGAGAGGTTTAACTCCTTCAAATCATATGGTGGTACATGGCGATACTAATTTGCTAAATAGTACCTTTGTGGTCTGGAGGAAATAATTAACTGCCCCAAGTGCCTACTTTCCATCAGTGAATTAATTACCCAGCTATTTCTAGCTCAGTGTTTATTAGGCAAATTCACTGTTCCATTATTTTAGCCTCTATTTTAAATTTTGGGCTAAAGGCACTTTTAAAAGCTTTGTGGAGATTGTTCATTCTTCTGAAATGATACAGTTGAAAAATTTTATACAAAAAAGTGTTCTGGGAAGAAATGTAGAGTGGAGACAGTTTTTCACTTGACCTGTCTGTTCCAATTTTGGGATAAACTCAGAGGACTGTCATGAATGATTGTTATTTTTCTATTTTGTTGATACAACGAGTAGCTTTCAGCATCTGACAATTTGCAGGTAATTTGTTTTTATAAGGAAAAAAACACAGCTGATAAAATTGTGTTGCCAATGTGCTAAACATAGATTTGATTAAAATCCATTAAGGATATACTTTTTTTTAAATTAAAAAATATATTTTGTTGATTTTTTTTTTTTTTTTTTTTTTTTTTTTTTTACAGAGAAGAAGAGAGAGGGATAGAGAGTTAGAAACATCAGCTGCCTCTTGCACAACCCCCACTGGGGATGTGCCCGCAACCAGGGTACATGCCCTTGACCAGAATCGAATCTGGGACTCTTCAGTCCACAGGCCGATGACGCTCTATCCACAGAGCCAAACTAGTTTCGGCATGATATACTTTTTAAAGAAGGATATATTTTCTTGTAACCAGAAGGAATATATAGTCTCTTTCTTTTGCTAATGGTGAACATAATATGTGATTATTATAAATATGTTATTTCTTTTTTAGGTTCCCATCCTTAGTAAGAAAGAAGATGTTTTTGCATATTTAGCTAAATATTCAGTGCCAATGGTTCGAGCAATGTGGCTTATCAAGATGACTTGTGCCTATTATTCTGCTGTTTCTGAAGCTAAAATTAAGAAACGCCAGGCTCCTGATCCCAATTTGGGTAAGTGAGAGGGTATGCTATGTTGCATGTTTCATTACTGATTCTCCAAGCAGTTGCTGCTTGCACTCTCTGTACACAGTCCTGTAAGGTGAGTACTGAGAAAGTTCATGGTGTGGCCACAAGTCACTCATTGTGTGGGTGGAGAAGCTGGTCATTGTTCACTCAGTCCCAGGATCTTGATTTTTGCAGCAGGTACTAGGGATATTACTTCAAATATGTCCTGCATCTGAACACTTCACCACCCTCTTTATAAAACTTTATAATTTCTTACTGCAATTAGGACGAACACCCATATTCTTTGCCATAGCATCGAGGCCATCTGTGATTTCACCTCACTTCCCAGGCTGTCCCAGCCAGATGGCCGTCCTTCTGTCCTCACTCCTGCCGTGCTCCATGCTTTCTCATGGCTTGTGCATTTCCTCCTCCAGGTACTTGAATTTCTCTTTAGGGTATTTGTATCCCTCCTCCTCTTTACTGAGGCTTTGGCTCAAATGTCATTTCCTCAGCAGGATTTCTCTGGACACCTGGCTAAATAGCATTTCCTCTCTCTCCCTGCTTCCTCCCAGTTACAGTCTCAAGTATTCCTACTTTATTCTTAGCACGCTTCACTGTCTGAAATTTTCTTTAAAAGTTTTGTGCTTGTCATCCCCCCTGCATGCACACAGCACACACACAGCACACACACTGGCTCATGACAGTAGTTTACTGAATGAGCTGAAGGGAGGGCATTTCTAGTGAGAGTCTCCACTCTTCAGTGGCCAGATAGTGACTCCTTGATGTGATGCTGAAGTGAGCTTCCTAACAGGTTTATACTACACTAGAAACTTACACAGAATTACATAAAGTATAAACAGATCAGGACATATGTCTTTATAGTAAATAACAAAGAGCTCTGTACATTTATTTGTAGGACTTTCCCCTTGAGGCTCTTATTATGGCTGAGACAACTAAAAACTCTGGTATTTGCACTTGTCATCTCTATAGTATTTCCGGATGGGCATAGAATTCTCTAATGAGGTCAGCAGATTGCTCCCTTCAGCCCCAGGTTGAGTCAGCTCCTAATAGCACTGTGGAAGTGGTCTCAGTTACTTGAGGGAACTGTTTTGGCCTTGGGACCCTTCATCCCCTTGCTGTTGGACCCAGGGCTGCTTTCCTGTCTGCCAGTGTGGGAAGAGTTGCCCCTCACCAACTCTCCCAGGATTACTGCAGTGTGCTGTGACGCCACATTTCCTGTTCCATTTGTGACGTCTGCTGGGTTCTGTGTATAGTTTGATCATTTCCTGATTTATCATTCATGTTCTCTGAGAGAGAGAGAGAGATACCTTATCCCACTTCACAGAGGAAGATGTTGAGGTGTGGAGCTGCCTGGAACCCTCCCCTCCCCACACGAGTCCATCTAGTCTCTGAAGCCCGTTCCGACTCTGCTGGTTCGGGACAGAGGGAGAATGTAGTTGTTAGTCTTCCTTCCTTCTCTAGTGTTTGGATTGCTTGGATATATGCCCTACCACTCATAGTGAAACGAATGGAAGTCCAGGGGCACCCACAGAGGCAGTGACATTTGAGTAGTTTGAATGGAGGTACAGTATATCCTAGGAGGCAGAGTTGGGTGGTATATTAGGAGACACATTTCTGGCAGAAGAGAAATAGGGTCATCAGATAGTTTAACTAGAAGTGGAACTGCCTGGATTTTTATAATTTTTGGCTTAGGCATTGGTTACCAGTGGGCAGCGGTGAAAGGCTGTTTGCTAGAGTGGATATGCCAGTTCTGTTGGCTGGATGTTGGGGAGTGATGAAGGGCCTCTTATTACAGTTGTTATAATACTCCCTCAGTTTCTTGTTTGTAAAATGGATGTTTTGCAGCACCTTTTCAGGATGGAATGAGTCAATACTCATTTCAAAGAGTTTAGAAGTGTGCCCGGCACACTGTAAATGGCCAGTAAATGTTGACTAGTAAGAGTATGTAGAACTGCCATTGGGAGTACTGTCATTACTAGCCAGCATTCATAATTATTTTGTGCATCATGCTGGGAACTTTGTAGACATTATCTTTTTAAAAAAATATATATTTTATTAATTTTTTACAGAGAGGAAGAGAGAGGGATAAAGAGTTAGGAACATCGATGAGAATCATCAATCAGCTGCCTCTTGCACACCCCTTACTGGGGATGTGCCCATAACCAAGGTACATGCCCTTGACCGGAGTCAAAATCGGGACCTTTTAGTCCACAAGCCAACGCTCTATCCACTGAACCAAACCGGTTTTGGCTATAGACATTATCTTTAATCAGTATAGGAATCTTTCAGTGAAGGTTTTATTATTCCATCTTGTGTATAAGAGACTCGAGCCTCCAAAGTGAGTGAGATCTTTGCTGGCACAGTTGGAGGTAGACTCACTAGAGGGCATCTGCTCTTTCCTCCCTGCTGTGACCTGGTTGCTGGGTGCATGTTGTGGATCGGGGCCCCTGGAGGCAGGAAATATTGCATGGGAGAAAGGTGCCAATAGGGCCGGGGGGGCTTTGGGTAGCACTGGAGGGCCAGAGCTCTTGATCTCATGGGTGCCATGGGAGCAGGCAGAGCATAATAGAATCCAGGGGCCATAGAAACCAAAGAGAAAGATGGCATTGTTTGCAAGATGAGCAGCTCTAATTCTGGCTAGGGGTTGCTGGTTGTTTAATGTGGGGAAAACTGACAAGAGGTATCATGGGCACGAGGTCTCTTTTGGGGGAAGAGATAGACTAGAAGAAGCTTAAAGTGCTTCATGATTAAATTGCCCTGAGCATTTGTTGGGCTGGGGTTGGAGGTAGATGACAGACTTTTCTTGGTTGACTGTACTCTTGGATTGTCCTTCTTTCCCTCCTCCCCCGCCCATGAAAGGAGGAAAAGCTACCTTTCTTGCACATTGGGTAATTAATTTGTGACATGTTCACTGAGCTATTTGGACTATAAAAATACACCCCACTAAACACATAATTGACAGTCTGGTTTCTTATCTAAGCCCGCCAGCTTATTTTCAGTTTGAGTTCCTGCAGATATTGCATATTAACTTTTCTGATTCCGGCACCAGCTTCTAGTTCCAAACTTCCACATTTTTAGTGCCCTTGTATCTCACTTGTCATGAAAGAGATCTGCCTTGCTTGCAATGAAAATAACCTCTGAGATTGGACAGAGTGCTTGTATAAGAATAATCTAAGTAAATCCCTTTACTTGGGACTGAAGAGTAGGTTTTCATTGATGAGAAAGCTTGGGTATCTGTAAGAACCATTCTCCTATACAAGGTAAAAGTGTTGCCGCTGCCTCCATCCTGTTAATCCATAGTCCTTCGCCTAAAAGTTTGAGCATCCATTGAACCATGCCTGAAACTGTTATTTCATGAGGATTGCTATATATTGGCACAGAAAGATGGCCCAGGCTCATCTTGTACATTTTTTTTTTTGCCTCATATCCTCCACCAACCATTTCTTTAAGGAACCCTGCTTCTTCCTAGTGTTTAGAAAGCAAGATCTGAGTGCTGAAGATATCACAGCTGTTAGGATGCCATGGCATCTGAGCCCTATCCATGGATGGTGGAGGCACACAGGACTGCATATGTGTGCATGCTTATGGAAGATTGTATTCCTAATTTTATTAATTTCTCCAATTTTATGTTTATCTCATTTCTATTACCTGAACAATTAAATGATTGTTATAAACATACTTGCTTCAGAATTAAAATCTGCTACAGTCTTTTGTTGTGAAGATAGGACAGGGAGACAGCAATATGTAAGTAATGACTTGGTGGGAGGGGAAAGGAAGCTGAGTATTCCATCATCTTCCATACAGGAAGGCAGTAAATAATGCTTAGAACCAAGAAGTAGGCATGTAAGCCTGGTATTTAGAGATGAAGAGGTAAACAAAAGACACAGAGTGGAGAGTTAAGGAGAATCGCCTTTGGAGAGTGGGAAATGAGAGCTTTATGCTGGTGGGCTGCTGTTTTCACAAGGCATGTAGAACTGTGGACTCCAAGACTGCAAGTCCAACTTTGATATAAATAAAAGTTAACTAAATATTAGTCTCTGCCCCCAGTCAGTATAATTTTGTTGCTGCCTTTTCTGGAAGATGCCATGCTATAAAAATGTGTTCTATGGAAAAGATTTGAAGGAAGTTCAGGGAATGCCGTACAATTTCAGCACCTATTTTCCACTAAGTCCAGTACTTGCTTCTTAGGACCTTAACAAAAATGAAGTAAGTATTCTTTGTAAAAATTGGAAAACTTATATTTTTTCCATGTGTCTAGTTCAATTAATTGAATATGTAAAACTTTCTTATCTATAGAGACTAAAACATTGTGCTAAAAAACATAAAGTTTGTCATCCTAACAGTTTAAGTGTCCAGGTTAGTGGTGTGACCTGCATGCACACATTGTTGGGCAGTAGATCTAGAACTTTTTCATCTTGCAAAACTGAAAACTGTGCCCACTGAATAGTGGGGAACAGATAGAGAGGCTGGAAAAGTTAGGGAATGTTTCCGAAGAAGAAAAATACAAGCTGGGTCTTATAGAAATGTAGCCTTAAAGTTAAGATTTGGGACATTCTTATTTGTTTTCTTTTTGCATCTTAAAAAATATTTATTGATCTTAAATTAGTTAATTATCTTCTTCCCTTGCAGGCTGAGAGCAAATGAGTTAGGTTTATAGTTAGTTCTGTTATGTGTACTGTTTATACTATTATCATTTCTTCTCTTCTTGTTGATTTGAGTGAATTATGTTGTCTGGCATTTTCTGTTAAGAACCTGGCATTTTCTGTTAAGAACCTATTGCCACTCAACATTTTCTCCTCAGTTTTAATGTTAACTCCTGCTTGGATTAATTAATCGTCTTCTATGATAAAATGGTAATCAGAATCCAAATTTAATTGTCAGTATTGAAATTTTTACTCTTCATGGCTATTAGTACATGCATGCATGTCTACACTGGAAACATACTATGCTACAAAAATACCTACTTTGCCATTTGGAGCAGTCCT